AGACCTAATTCAAGAAACTTAGTAGCTGCTACTATGACATCCTGGCCTTAGGGGAAATAAAATGCTGTTGATAGTTATTAAAAGGAAGTTAGTGTGCTTACATTGAAGTGCTGGTTCAGAATTCAGGAAAGGTCCCAGGAGAAGGAAGGAGTTAGGAGTTGAACACAGTCCCTACTCTGTTGAGAAAAGACCCATTGAAGCCAGGAATCCATATGAAGGCATTAGGTTGCTAGGTTACCCAGGAACCCTTATGAAGGTGCTAGGTTGCCCAGGAACCTGTATGAAGGTGCCAAGTTGCCTAGGAACACATAAGAAGATGCTAGCTTGCCCCGGAACCCATATGAAGGTGTCAGGTTGCCCAGGAACCCATATGAAGATGCTAGCTTGCCCCGGAACCCATATGAAGGTGTCAGGTTGCCCAGGAATACATGTGAAAGTGCTAGGTTGCAGTGTGTTCAGATTTCTGACTTTGAAAACATTCCTGCAGAGGAAGGAAATCTTTTGGTTCATCCTGAGAGTGACCAAAGCTTCCACAAAGAGTTGATAGGACTTAGTGCAAAGGCATCTATTATAAGAGCATAAATAAGAAAGCATGAGTTGGTCTGTTTCTCTCCTTCACTCCTCTCCCTCTTTTCTTCTCAGTTTTTGAGACTGGGTCTTGCTATATAGCTTAGGCTGACCTTGAATTTTTGATCCTCCTGCCTCAGCCTCCTCATTCAGTTGTACTCTACCAGGCCCATCAAAAACATAAATTAAATCTATTTTTTGTTTGTTTGTTTTTGTATTTAACCAGTAGAGAGTTGAACTTCTACATAAGCAGCTTTGGGAAAACACAAATGCTTCTAGTATATTCTTCCAAAGTTTCACTTCAGTTTAAGCAGTAGCAAGAAATCCTTTCTTTATGATGCCCAAAGTTCTGTATGCCATGGCATATTTTTTTTAAATAAAGGTTTCCTGTATCTCAGGCTGGCTTTGAACTCACAATGTAGGAGCCTGGGTCCTATATTACTTTTATATTACAGCTCAAAACAATAACAAAATTACAGATAAGAAATAGCCATGAAAATAATTTTATGGTTGGGGGTCACCACACAACATGAGGAACTGTATTAAAGGGTCACAGCATTAGGAAGAACCCTGATACTAACCTGAACTCCTTGCCATTATCAACACATTCCCAGCTTTATCCTCTTTTTAATGAAACTGAGATTCTGTCCAAACCCAGGATCTGACTAAGAAATATGTTCATTAGGCCTTTAATGGCAGTTAGTGGGTAACGTATTTCTTGATGATTTTTAATGGAGATTACTTTTAGGGAAACTGTTTGCATGCTATCGGGAGCCAAACCCAGGGCTTTATGCATGCCGAGTAGGCATGGTACTAACAGAGGCTTTGATGCTAAGTCTGCCAGCTCAGGCTGTCTTGAAGTCTCTACCTCCCGAGTGCTGAGAGTCTCTGTGTGCACCTCACCAAACTGAAGGTGATCTTTGAGATAACAGAGTAGAGAGTTAATCAACATGATCGTAATAATGCGATGAGGGTTGGTGTGTTTTGGCCTGTTAGCTCTTTGATATGGTGACTGTGGGGAGACTGGGATGGACACATCAGAATAAAGGAATGAAGGTAGTTTAGATAAAAGAAAAATTACGTGAAGACCGAATGAAGTTGGAAACTACTTCTCAAGTCTTTTCAAAAACAAGACACGGTGTTGCCTGTGTTCAGCCAGGTTTCACTCACTAAGGGCCAAGGAGCAATGTGTTGGGTAGTGACCTGAAACAAACCCGCTGCTTTGAACACCGTTTCTGAGAGCATCAAAGAAAGCTATTCAGTGGGGTAGATAGAACCTACTTGACCCGGATGCAGCGCCGAGCAAGACCCACGGCAGTGGATTGAAAAGGCTTTTCATCTCAGTGTGAGAAGGGACAGAAACTTAACCCCTGGCAGGGATATGCTGACAAAAAGTCACAGCCAGTATCATTTTCTTGACATGAGGAGACAAGCCAAGATAGTCGGGAGGCTTAATCTATGTGGGTCAGCAGAAGCAGGAGGCTCGTGTGGCTGGTGACAGAAGTGACCCACTGTGCTGAATGAATGAGGGGAAGGGATCTGTGTGACTCATGAATAGCTGTGCAGGTAAGGGAAGAGTGAGAGTTCTCAAAGAAAGGCAGGCAAGCCAGGTCGGGGGTCAGGAAGACCCACACAGTCATTTAATCTGAGCAGGAGTCCAATTTTAAAAGGAAAAATGTAGATAGTAACAAGGCGGTGGAAGGAAGGTCTTGTTCCTCTGCTAACTGTTTTCCTAGCTGAGTCAGTTGAGAGGGTTCATAAGGACACGGAGCACGGCCGGACAATAGCAGTCCCTGAAAAAGCCACTTTCATTCCTAGAATCAGCTGCGATCAAAGAGGGGAAGGCAGAGTCTGTCTAGGCCTGTGTGCTAGAAGAGCCGCCAGAGCTGCGGGCCACAGGGAAGGGAGTTAACACAGCTTGGGTCTTGGCCGTTCAGTACCACCGTGTGCATTAAAGGCATTCATTGCCTGAAATTTGAAGTGTTTGCCTGTCTTCAAATTCAAATATTAGGCAAGCCATAATAAAGCCATTTCCCTTGTTTCAAATGAAACTTGAATGAAAGTTAAAATGGAAACTGTATATAAGATGAGTTTATACTGAATGGGTTTTAGGAATAAAAGAAAAATATGTTCAGGGTTTTTGTTTGTTTTTTAAGTCTCTAATTGCTACAACGGATATTCTATCTTTTAAAGAAGGGTATTCCAGATTGGGTTTGGTAATACACGACTAAAAATCCAGCACTGAAGAGGCTGAGATGAGAGGATGGTGCGTTTAAAGCCAGCATAGGCTGCATAGCAAGATCCTGTTCAACAGCAACAACAAAATGGGATGCAGACACCCCATCAAATTATTGTGGACAGCTTTAGAAAATGAGCAGACCACTGTCATTAGGACTTGTCCCTGTTTTGATGTTTTTACAGAGCTGAGAATAGGTCCCAGGGCCTTACACATGCCAGGTATGTGTTCTCAGACCAACTGTATATCCAGTTTTCATTTTTAAGACACTGTTTGATGTAGCCCAGGCTATCCTTAAATGTGTAGCTTAGGATTACCTTGAGTACCTACTCCTCCCATCCCTATTTGGTGGGTTCCTGTGGGTTTTGACTCTTTCTATATGAGTACGTTTGAATGGGGCAGTTTCTGTTCGGTGTTTCTAACAGGTAAAATTAGGAAGCCCAAATCTTACATTTTGCTCACTTCATTCTCTCAAGTACTAGTCACATAGAAACAAATTCTTATTTTCAAACAAGCATGGCAGAGCCAGTGAGACAGCTCAGCTCTGTCTTACAAGCCTGATGACTGAGTTCAATCCTCAGATCCCATGAAAGCGGAAGGTGAGAGCCAACGCTGGAGTCATGCTCTGACATTCACGTGCATGCTGTGACAGACTGTAGTGAGAATTATGGAAGTTTGGTTTCTTTTAAAAACACGGAAATATTATAAGAATTATATGTTTCGCTTTAATCCCAGGTGTGGGGATGTGGGGCTTTTTGCAGCAGCTATGATTTGCCTGGTACTCTAGCAGAGGCATGGTTTTGCCAGCTGCAGGTATTTTCTGCACTGTGTGACATTTGGAGTTCTGGGAAGTTTTCAGAGGACATATAAATGCTCAAGCCCCCATAGGTGGGGTCTGTGGTTGGTGGGGTCAGCGGGATTAGCTGTGGTTTGTTAGTAGTCGTGGCAAAGAAGAAACAAAAGGAAAAATTAGATTCAGGGATCTCTCTCTCTCTGTCTCTCCTCCCTCTATTTAGGGGGTTAGATTAGATAAAGGGTAAGAAAAAGAAGACCCAGAAAAATAGCTAAGACTGGCTACATGCAAGAGTAATAACATTTTTAAAACAAGCTTCTCATCAGCACAGACTATAGCTAGCTTCCTCTTAAAAGACCAGGCAGTATCCCAAAGTAGATGTAAATGAAATCAGGCTAACCCGTGGGACTGTTTACATCCTTCGTGAGACAGCCTTGGGTAAAACTTGTGTGTCCTTTGCTTAGGTTGCTGTATTCTGGATAAGTATGGTCTTTGCCAGACGTGGTAATTCTCGGCTATATTTGTGGTGCTTGAGTTGGTTGGTTCTGAGTCAGCCATTGCCTTGTCTTTCTTTCACTAGCACAAAAGAGCTACCATTAGCATCCCAGTTCTAGAAGTGAGTCCATGAAACCTCGAGATTGCACGCTAATTTTTGTTAGAAGTTCATTTTAGAAGAAAAACGTCCTCAGATTCCATTGCATTATTCGTTTGCTTATTTATTTATGTTTTGTGTGCAATGGTGTTCTGCCTGCATGTATATCTGTGTGAGGGTGTAGATCCCCTGAAACTGGAATTATAGACAGTTGTGAGCTGCCTTGTGGGTGCTGGGAATTGAACCCGGGTCCTTTGGAAGAACAGTCGGTGCTCTTAACTGCTGAGCCACCTCGCCAGCCCCTCTATCACATTTTTAATGGCCCTTTGAAACTCAAGAAACACTGATTTGAAAAATCCATGGAGCAGCCGGAGAGATGGCCTGTCAGCGATGAAGAGCACACACTGCTCTTCCAGAGGACCTTAAACTCCGTCCCAGGCTGGGGGGGCTCACCACTGTCTACAGCCTGGGTCCGGGGCCCATCCAGTCTGCTTTCTTGGACACTTGCACTCATGCCTATACCCTCACACAGACACATGTGCACACATACATAGTCAAAGATAAATCTTGAAGAAAAGGAAAAACCTCGTGGATGCAGGCTTATGGCAGGGGAATTTCCAGTGATCTCTGCTGCAAAGGGACTCCGCTGTCAAGAGGGTTCCAGCAGCAGCACAGAGCGGAAACGACAGTGGGCTGAGCTCGCATGCCATCTTTGTTTTCCTTTTATGCTCATCCATAGTGAAGGACTCCCTTCCTAACTGGGACTGTACCTTTCAACTGAAGTGTCACATCTCTTCTTGGTTATTTTCCAGGTGGGAGCAGAGAGAGCTGCCCAACGGCCGTGTCTATTATGTTGACCACAATACCAAGACCACCACCTGGGAGCGGCCTCTTCCTCCGGGGTAAGGCCCGAGACTCCAGGGTGGGCACCGGGACTGTCCATGGGCCTCTGCACCACTCTACCACGCTGTCTTGATCTTACTGTTTTCTGTTAGCTGGCTTCCCATCCTTCCAGGTCTCCCCTGACTCCAGCCTGTCTTTTTTCTCCACATGCATCACTGTGACCATCTCTTGGCCGGCTTTATTACGTACGGTATTCAGTGCTGACAGGACACTGGAGTCCTGGAAACGGAGAGCTGAGGAAGCCTCCTGGGCCGTGGGGTATCAGTGGCCTTAGTCAGCCTTCTGTGTGGAGACACTGCTCTGATGATTGGCGAATCAGTTTCTTCCTTGGGAGGCAGCAATTTCTCTGGCTCTCTTGATGACTTTTCCTCCCCAGTCACCTAAATTCAGCCCTCATTCTTGGGAGATACTATAATGTTTTTCAGGGTCTCTATGGTTAAATATGGTACAGGGTGACTAAGAAAGAGGGATGGAGGCTGGGGAAGTGCTCAGAGATTAAGCACTGACTGCTCTTCCAGAGGACCTGGGCTCAGTTCCCAGCACTCCTGTCAGGAGGCCCACTGCTACCTGTAACTCCAGCTCTGAGCGGTCTGATTTCCTCTTCTAGACTCTGGGGGCAGCCACATATGTGCACATACCCACGCACATACATGTAAACATAAATAAAAATCTTTAAAAAAAAACACAGACAGGAACAGGACTAATAGTTGGGGAGATGGACCATTCGTAAAGTGCTTGCTATGCAAGCATGAAGATCTGAGTTCAGACCCCAACACCATTTAAAAAGCTAGCTGGGGTAGTGTGCACTTGTGATCCCCGCACCAAAGAGACAGAAAGAGCACTGGGGCTCCCTGACCAGCCAGCCTAGCCGAGCGGGTGAGCTCCACGTTCGTAAAGTACCCTGCTTCAAAACAATAAAAATAAAAATAAATCTGGAGAACAACAGAGGAAGACGCCATTGTCAGCCTCTGTCCTTCACACATATGTACACATACATACCTATGTACACATACACATGAACATGTACACACATATATATATGTAACATATCTATGCATGTACAAAGGAAAAGAGAGTTGCTACGTTTCCCTGTATAGTCTGCCCCCAAAGCGGGCGCACCTAATTCATCTGTGCTTAATGAGAACATAGTGGAGTTCTCCAAAACCAAAGGCAGAGAGAAACTTCCAAGTGGGGGAAGACTGTCCAAGTTCAAGAAGAAAAGGGGTTTGACTTCCTGTCTGCCAGGGACAGAAAGTTCTTTCCACATGTGTCTCCTGGTCTTAGAGCTTACGAAAGGGAATGCATTCTGCTCTCAAGAGAGCCTTGCCCTCAGCGCCCACCTAGTGCAGCCGTGAGGAGCTTCTGGGTAAACATGAATGCTGTCCTCCTAGCTGACGTAGGGAAAGGATGGTGGCTGGGGAGAGGCCCTCTGGGAACAGCCTCTGTGTCGTGGTGAGCTCAGCTGTCAGGTGTGTGCCAGGCGAACCCCACGTCATCACCTGGCTGCGCACATTTCCACAGATGTGCCGCTGCAGCTCAGCTCCCAGCAGAGTGCTGGGTCTCCCTTTCCCTTCCTTGCTGGCCTGGGGGGGTTGCTCCTCGTCTGCCATCTTCTGTGCTCACTCTGTGTCTCCTTGGACTTGAAGTCCAGTGAAGGCTACCAGAGTTAAATGTTGGCTTCTTAAAATTCTTTTTTACCTTCAATTTCCACTGCTTGTTTGTCTCTCTCTCTCTCTCTCTCTCTTTCTTTGTTTTTTTGTTTTTTTTTTTTTTTTCAAGACAGGATTTCCCTGTGTAGCTTTGGCTGTCATGGACTCACTCTGTAGTGAGTCCATGGCTTTAAACTCATAGAGATCCACCTGCCTCTGCCTCCTGAGTCCTGGGATTAAAGGTGTGCGCGACCATTGCCTGGCCAATTTCCACACTTTATTGTGGAAATGGTTGAAATTTTTATACTGTTAGGGAAATGTTCCGATACATGTAGAGAAAACTGTATAACGAGCCCCTCACACTCAGAGCCAGTTTTGTGTTCTCTCCATCAGGGATTGGCACCTTATAACAGCGAGTGGATGAAATCCAGCCCTTCACCCATTTTTATAAATAAAATTTTCTTAGAGTATGGGCGCAGTCATTTGCTAACCACTCCTTTTTTCCTTTTTTATTTCCTCTCAGTGTAGGGGATCGCACCTACTGCCTTGGTGTGGTCAGCATGGTAGGCCAGTGCTATATGTGAGTCACACTGCAATTCTGGGAAGGCTTGTTGTTGTGGTTGGTGTTTAGTTTTGGTTTTGGTTTTGAGATAGGTTCTCTCTGTGTATCCCTGGCTGACCTGGAGCTTGATATGTAGTGGGCTGGAATCCAGTTCAACAGACTTCTGCCTGCCTCTGCCTCCTCAGTTCTAGAACTAAAGGCATAAGGCATATGTCACCACATCTGGCCTAGTTTGTTTGTTTGTTTGTTTGTTGAGACAGGCTTTTCTCTAAGTAGCCCAGGCTGTCCTTGAACCTACAGTAATTCTTTGCCTCAGCCCCCTGAGGGCTGAGTTTATGTTTTCAATGGATGATTTAATTCTTCAGTGGCATAGTCAGTTGACTTCAACACAGGCTATATGGCCCCCAGAAAGTTTGAAACATTTGCTTTATAGAATTTCCAGCCTGTGATCTGAAACCTTCATCCACCTTCGTTGCTTGTCTTGGTTTAGGGTTTTTTTGTTGTTGTTGTTTTTGTTTTGAGGCAGATCCTGTATTATCATTTGTTCATTTCAGTAGACATTTCTAAAAAATATGTCATTAACTAGGCATAGTGACACATGCCTTTCTTCCCAACACTAGGGAGGCAGAAGAAGGTGGATCTCTGTGAGGCCAGCCTAGTCTAAATAGTGAGTTTCAGGACAGCCAGGGATACTTAATGACACCTAGTTTCGAAAAGACAAAAAGTCACTACAGTAAAATCGCCGTGTTGTTAGTATAAATGATGGTGTATGAGAACTATAGAACTAGACCACTCTCTAAGCAGAAAAAAAGATTTATTGGTGATCAAACTGCCTAGGCCATTTCGAGATGGTGGGAAGCAGAGAAAAGAAAAATGGTGGAAAAGCAACCTTTTTGTTGTTGTTGTTGTTTTAAGACAGGATTTCTCTGTTTATAGCCTTGGCTGTCCTGGACTCACTTTGTAGACCAGGCTGTCCTTGCACTCACAGAGATCCACCTGCCTCTGCCTCCCCACGTGCTGGGATTACAGGCTGTGCCACCACACCCAGCTGAAAAGCAAGCCAATTTTATCTGACAGCCAACAGGGTAGGGATACAGACTGTCCATATTGATCCAGAACTGGCTGTGCCTGAGCTGACCATCAGGGAAGCTTAAGGAGTTTCATGGAAGATTGAGGGAGGTTGTGGTGAACAGAAGTTGCATAAAAGGTCTGCTTTTCAAGTAAAGGGAAACCTTTAGGCTTGTTAACCTGGTAACAGTTCTTCTGTGTACCTGAAAGTCCTTTTGTTTAGGACAGTGTCACCAGTACTGCCATTTTAGAGAAAAGGGGACTTTGGACTTGGCAGTTAGAAGTATTGCTCCATATCATCCAACACCCAGTCAATATTTGGATTTCTCTGATTGTGTCACAGGTCAAGCATTGAGTTAACAGTATGAGTTGTGCATTTGAGCTTTAAAACAGGAATGCTATAAAGTACTGTTGCTTCCCCTGAACCCGGGTTATAGGATATATAGATGATGTTTGGATTTTCCTTTTTCTCTTTTGGCTTTTCTGAGACAGGGTTTCTCTATGTAGCCTTGGTTGTTTCTGTAACTCTCTGTAAACCACACTGGCCTCAGACTTAGAGATCCACCAGTCTCTGCCTCCCGAGTGCTGGGATTAAAGGTTTATGTCCCAGTAGATGTGTGACACTGACCTATTAAGCATTAAGGTTGAGCTGAAGTAAGAATGGGGTTCTAAGGATGGGTAGGGGCTGACTGTTCATTAGGTATTAAGGTGTGACACCAATCAAGCTTTCCTCTTTCTAGGATGGGGTTACTGTTACTGGATTTTTGTTGTTGTTTTGTTTTGTGTTTTTGAAACAGACTCTCATATATCTCAGGGTTGCCCAAGCTTGCTATATAGCCAAGGCTGACATCAAACTTCTGATCTTTCTGCTTCTATTTCCAAATGATGAATTACTGGTTGTACCAGCTCACCTGTCTTATTCCGTGTTGGGAATGGGACCCAGGGCCTTGTGCACTAAGCGTGTGTGTGTGTGTGTGTGTGTGTGTGTGTGTGTGTGTTTATGCGTGCTCGTGCGTGTGCACACACACACACACACACACACACACACACACACAGGCAACTCCACTGACGCCATCCTCTTGCTCTTATGTAACCCTAGACCTAGTGTCTATAAGGCTAATCTAGCACTGATGTTCTACAGCCCCTCCCCCCACTTTCTCTCCTCTGCCTAACTCTGTGCCTTACATGCTAGGCAAGCCCTCTGCCAACCTAGCCACATCCTAGCTCCTCAGGATAGTTTTAATGGTTGCCTGGGAGATACCCATCTTGGTACCCGACACAGTTCTTCCAGAATTGTAAGTGAAGGGCTCTTACTTCCTTGTATAGTGGGAAACCCAGAAAGAACATAAATGTTGAGCACAGTGAATGAGAGAAGTCTGCCCAGGGTAGCATGAGATACAGTCACCATCATATCAGCTTTAAAACAGCAATTAAAACCATTCCTTCAGCAAATGTACTGATTAAGAAACAAGACTAGGTCAAAGGACTCACTCTATAATGTCCATCATATTATAGCAAATCCTTGGCAAGATACATGCAGCCCAGTCCTTTTCTTGTGGAGCACAAATTACTGGACCTGGCAGCCAAGGATGCGTCATTTGCCCCTTTGGTTGGTCTGAGCAGTGTTTGGACCAGAGCTAGGCAGAGGAGAAAGAAGTGTTTGTGTGGGGGAGGGGTTTCTGTAGACCATCAGTGCTAGATGAGCCTTACAGACACTGTGGGAAGGTCTGGGGTTACATAAGAGCAGGAGGATGGCATCAGTGGAGGTACCAGTGTGCATGTGGGAATACGAACGGTGTGTAGGGAGCGGTTCTCACTCACTCATTCACACACACACACACACACACACACACACACACACACACAAATATGTCTTTAAAAAAGTTTAAAATTCACCATAGTGGAGAACTTCTAGGTAAACATGTAGATTGAGCATGGTATTTATCCATTCTTCCTGAAAACATGCAAAAAGGGCAATACATTTATTTTAGGAAAAGCACAAATGGTCCAAAATTGGAGATAGTCAGGATTAGTAGCACATGCTTGTAATCCTAGCATAGAAGGTAAAAGCCAGGAGATCAGAGGGAAGTTCATGGAAGAGTGAAGGAATAGAGGAACAGAGAGGAAAACAGCCAGAAAGCACACAGGAAGATATTGATCAAAGTGTCTTTGCTGACAGGTCAGTGGTAGAGCTGAGAGAGCCAGAGGTGTGAATAACATACTTGGCTTGTAGCACAGAGCTCTAAAGACCCTAAGGTAGGGCATGGCATGAGATGAAGCCTGGACATCACCTCAAGGCTTGTTTTCAAGAATAGTGCAAGTCTCAGGTTGTCAGGCATCACTCCTGTTTGGTTGTCTCACATCTATGTTTGAACACATACCTCCTGTCACATGTACACACACACACACACACACACACACACACACACACACACACACACA